GAAGAAGAATTAAGACATGTATTGCAATTGGAAACATATGTAATTATTTCTAATCAAGTATTTGTTAGCAATTTGGTAAATATTCAAGATGATGATAGTAATAATAATAATAATGATGATTATGTTGAAAATTATATTGGGGATACAGATTATAATGTTAATATATTAGTGGATGATATTTTAAATAATGAAATTGATTAAATATAAAAATGATAGTATTTTTTTTTATCATGTTTGAAATTTTTGTGAATTGCACAAAACTTCATATAATAAAAATATTAATTTGCTTATAATTATGGATATTTTATATAATGAATTTAATACATACAAAAGTTTTTCAATTAGACCATAACCTTTTAAAGTTATGAAGTAGAAAATCGCAAATAAATAAATAATGTAATCTTTATCATTTTTGCAAGATTTGAAAACATCACTTCAGATAGTTTATATCACTCACGAGTCTTGCGTCATGGATTGAGTCTTGCGTCATGAATTGCATCTTGCGTCACGAATTGCGTCTGCGTCTTGCGTCTGCGTCAATGCGTCTCACACTAAACTAATTGCGTCACATGACTTTTAATTTTGACAACATGTATACGTCTCACACTAAACTAATTGCATCACATGACTTTTAATTTTGACGACATGTACAGATATAAGCCTTGTCAACTTTTTTTACAACATCCCTAAGCACAGGCAAAATATCTGATCATTCTTGCCTAGTTATTTCTTTGAAGTTTTCTGCATGGTGTTTGGTGCACAGTGCTACATGACCTTTGGAATTTTGTCTCAAAACCACACCAGCACTTATATACTTTGAGTGAGAGACTTGAGATTTAAGCATTCCTTTTTTCTGTATTTCCATTTTATCACACATATGGCAAATTATTTCACTTCCTTCAGCACTTTTGGGACAAATATAACTAGGAGTGTTATCATCTTTTCAAGTAAAGTGATTGTTTTGTTTACCTCTTGCAATTTGGCTGTGACAATTACAACATTGGGAACATTTGTGTCCTCTACTGTCTTCATAAGCAGTGACATCTCAATCCAACATAATTTTGCATTGTGGACACCAAATAGTTACTCTATCTCATATTCCACTTCCTTTTTGATTAAGAATTCTTATTCTAAAAGGTCAGTCAAAATTTTCTTTATTTTTAACCTTAGTTCAGGTTTCTCTAAAGATTTTCTTTTTGTTTCTTTCTCAATCAGCAGTTTTTTCATCTAATTCTTTTTGAATTATGTTTTTGAGAACAATCTCAACAACAAAATTCAATATGTTCTCTATTTTCTTCATCTCATCAATTAATCTCTAAACCTTCTTTGGTATTTTTACAATTAAAACATTCTTTTTTGGTCATGATATTTTTATTTATTTAAACTTTTTATAAGAAGTTTTACAAAAAAAAAAAATCAATGTTCAATCATGAGAGAGAACTCTTTAAATCATGGTTGGAGTAGAACATTAGTATTGGTTTTATAAATCTAATTACTTATTGAGAAAATACCAAAAAGGAAAATATAAAATAAATAATAAATTTGTTCCTATTATTTTCCTTCTAGTGATCTTGGCTTTTTGATGGGTAATAATGCATCATCATGATGCTTTCTTTTTCTAACATTTATTATTTTTCTTTCTTCTTGGTAAATTTCATAGGTAATCCTTTCTTTTCTTAGATAAGCTTCCAGTGTCTGAATATCATTTATTTTGAAAATGTAAGGAGCAATTTTTTCACCTTGTTCTTTCTTCAAAATACTCTAATGGTGCTATAATTTTTGGGTTCCATAGTAGATCTGATATAAATGAGTTTCATATTAACTATTTTGTCTATCATGATCACACTATATTTGTAACACAATTGTGATGTTAAACAAACACTATTGATCCCTGAAATCCTTAATACCAATGTTCACTTTGTCTGGTTTTGTTGCAGTATGCCCATATAAGATAAAAAAAGTATAGTGTCACCGATTAAATTCGGGATAGCGTATTTTAATTGGTGATAACAATTATTTTTGTTTTTGCGTGGATCAGAATGAATAAGGGATCAACGAATTGATTTTGTTATTAGCGAATAATTTTGGGTAAAGAAGATAATAGTTTATTTAAATAAAATATTACTATTTTATTTATTTAGTTTTCTTAGTCGAAATTAATTAACTTGTTTTTTTTTGAAGTGGACGATAATAATTTTATCCATGTAACGTTTATATTGAATGACACTTTATCTGCAATGTCCCGCGACTATTACTTGCTGTGTCCCAAGGACTTGTGTGGCTTAAGTCAGGTGACTGGTTTTTTTTTTACTGATTTACCCTATCGCGTCATTTTGTCCACAATCAGAATAATCTATATGAAATAATTCAAAACTCAATTACTTTCAATACTTTCAAAATACAGAGTCGTTTAAGTGGTCACTTGTTGGTTTTTTAACATGGAGATACAAAATAGCAAAGTTTTTGGAAAGCAAAAAAAGAACATAGTGCTTTCAAATCTTTTATCCAGAACCTTGCAACTGACGAAACAATGCAAAGGCAAAAAGAGCACAGGAGTTGATTGATAACTGGAAAGTATGCATTTTTTTTTTATGTTTCAGCTCTGTTGACAAGCCAAGATTCCTGCTCATATTGTTTTGTACGAATCTCTGAGTTCTGCAATAATGTGCACAATTAATCTCTGAGTTGATTGGGACTTTTGGTAGGATCTCTGAGTCTATTGCTGCAACACACCAGGTGATCTCTGAGTCGACCAGGTGTTGAGTCTCTGAGCTCGTTGCAGTTTGTCATGAGCCTGACATATATTATTTATTGTACAGGAATATATTTTACATTGTACAGTTTTTATAATCATTACTCATTAATTCTTAAAATTGATGAGCTTTTCTAGAAGATTAAGCATTCTCCGGAAGTTATAAAGTTCTGGAATGATTATAGAACCCAGAATTTACAGCAAGATCTCCAGTAT